CCTAACCCTAACCCTAACCCTAACCCTAACCCTAACCCTAACCCTAACCCTAACCCTAACCCTAACCCTAACCCTAACCCTAACCCTAACCCTAACCCTAACCCTAACCCTAACCCTAACCCTAACCCTAACCCTAACCCTAACCCTAACCCTAACCCTAACCCTAACCCTAACCCTAACCCTAACCCTAACCACACGACCCCGCCCCCACCACGGGCAACCGCCATGCAAAAGGTGGTCCACCGGAAGCCTGAGGCACAGTCCTCGCCGCCCGAGCACCCCAGGACTCGCCATTGCGGCAAGCTCTCCATCAAGACCCCGCCCAAGAGGGGCCTTAGGCACTCGCCCAGACTCGTGGCCGCGCTGAGAGTACAATGGCCGTCACCACCCGTAGACTTGACAGCGTTCAAAATGTAGGCCCCATCGCGGGGGCATAGCAAAGCAAAAACGATACCGGGAGCCGTGTCACATGTACTCGTCGAGCACTCACGCTGCTCTTGCTAATTTTGCTATGACATGAACATATGACAGCTGCAGCTATCAAGCAATGGCAGGTCGCGTAGTGAGGATCTCGATCTTGTCCGTTCTACTATTCCATTGCGCTCCCTGTTTTATTCCAACCTCCTCCCTCGCCGTGGCGCATCCTGACCTGCAACCATGGTCAGATATTGTTACTCAAGCAATGGTCGGACACACCCTGCGCTGCACAGAAAACCCCATGGAGCCTCTAAATCCGTTGGAGAATCTAATGGTAGGCGGGCGCATCCTGTCCATCTTGCATCTTTCTCAGTGGCAGGCCATCAACGAGGTGCTCGCCGCTACAAACTTCTCTTCACTCTCAGCTGCAATTGAACAGCTCCCGAGTCTACACCCCTTACTCATAAACACTGTAGCCGCTGCAGGCAATCATGTTCTCACCAATCTTCTATCTGATGGCGCAGCGCAAGCCGAGATTTCTGCTCTCTATGCTGCCCAAGCCAGGGAGTCACGACTTCCTTCTGGCACAGGAGAAGACAGTGGTGCCGCAGAGTCCTCTGGCCCGACAGAAGCTGACCTGGCATTAGTCAAACGGCTGGGAGAAGCAGCAGGAAAAGCAGTGTTGGAATCTCGCAGGGATGATGGAACAAGTAGGAGCATCCCTCCCTACGTGGGCGCTACCACCGCTACAGGTGTGACTGGGGCACAAGACGACAAGGGACGCTGGCGCCCCACTCCTCCCGCATTTTCTCCCGGGGGGGCACGACAGTGGAAAGACGCGACGCCGTACGTGCTGAGTAGCCCTGGAGAGCTCCGCCCTCCCCCCCCTCCCGACCTGCGCTCGCCCTCCTACCAGGTGTCCTACATGGATGTAGCGACCGTCGGGAACCGCAGCAGCGACGAACGTCAGCCCTCGGAAACAGAGAGTGCCATATTTTGGACAGCGCAGCCCGACGCCCTCCTCTTCGCGGTCGTGGGGCAGGTGACAGAGGAGATGGACCTTTTGGAGGCCACCCGCACCTACGCCCTGGCCTCGGTGGCGGCTGTGGATGCACGAGTCGCCATCATGGATGGCAAGTACTTTTACAGCAGCTGGCGGCCGGTCACAGCGCTGCCGTTGGGAAACGGGGTAGGCCTGCCGGCTTTCCCTGACTTCGCGCCTTACTTGACCACACCGCCCACACCGGAGTACCCCTCAGGACACGCTGTGCACGGGGAGGCCATCGTTGAGGTCCTCCGACGGGCCCGGGGAGGAGGTAGGGGTCTGGGCGGGGAGAAAGAACGGGCGGCGGATGCGTTTGAAGTCGTGCTGACGACGCCGACTGTGCAGGGTGAAAGCGGAGGGGGAGGGAGGCGGGTGGTGAAGGCGGAGGAGGAGGGGAGAGGAGGAAAGGTGGAAGGGTGGACGAGTGGGGACCCTCCAGGGCAGGTGGCACCCCAGCCGGTGGTGGTGACGCGTCGGTACGCCTCCCTCAGTGAGGTATCGGAGGATCTGGCGCTTTCGCGGATTTTCGGCGGGATCCACTACCGTTTCACGGCGGAGCAGAGTCTGGAAATGGGCGCGAGGGTAGGTCGGCGGGTGGTTGAGGGCTTTGACGCCAAGTACACGAAGCTGACGAGGGAAGAGGACGACAGCGCGCAGGGAGCGCGATTGGAGAGTGGAGGCGGAAAGCGAGGGCTGAGGGTGCGCAGGGAGCGCGGTTGGCGAGTGGAGGCGGAAAGCGAGGGCTGAGGGTGGGGGGGAGAGATGGGGACAGGGGGGGGGGAAGCGGTGTCGAGGAGGAGCCAGGAGAGGGGAAGCTGTCCGCTGCAGCTCGTGTCGAAAAGTGAGGCCGCTGGGAGGAATGAAGGAAAACAGAAGATAGAAGGAAGAAGGGAGGAAAGTAAGCCAGAGATAGAAAAAACGAAAGGAAGCGGCGAGAGACCTGCAGGCCCCCTGGGCGGGGGGGAGGCGGGGCCGACACAGCAAGGATGAGAGCGCCCTCGAGCCCGAGGCCTCTGTCTGCACTCGAAGTACTTTGTGCTTGTTCTTTGCATGAGACTATCTTATCGTGCGCACGCCTCATCTGACCTCCAGCCTGGCTCCTGGACTCCTGCCCCCGTACCGGACTTTGTGGGTCTCGAAGAGCGCGGTCAGCGCCTCCACGTAGCGCGCGTGCAGATCCTCCACCTCCTCCCGCGTCGGCTCCCCTCCCCTGCTCCCACCCACGTCCCCCCCCGCCCTTCCCTCCCTCCTGGGGGAGAGCGGCGCGCCCATCACCACGGTCACGGGCGCGGGCAGGGGCAGGAAGGGGAGGAGCGGGAAGCCCCAGCACGGGGGACAGGCCAGCTTGAGCGCGCGCGCCACCCAGAGCTGGAGGCCCTTGAAGTAGTTAAAGGTCCGGTAGAGGTCGTTTTCTCCGAAGGCGTACGCGGGGACAATGGGGCAGTCGTAGCGGAGGGCGAGCTTGCAGAATCCCTTTCGAGGCAGGACCACCACCAGGTCCCTCCCTCGCTCAGTGAGGATCTGCTCTTTCTCCCCCCCCACGTAGATGAGAGAGGAGAAGCCTCGCTCGAGTATTGCATTCGCCGTGGCGGCGCCGGCGTCCACGCATCCGACCCAGAGCAAGACCTCCTTGACCAGGGGAATGAAGAAAAGGACAGTGGCCCCGAGGTCGAGGCGCGGGCGGGGGTAGATCCTGGAGAGGAAGCGGCAGCCGTCCGTCATGGTCAGGAAGTGGTTCCAGGTGGCAATCCCGTGGGGATGGGCGGCAAAAATGTACTGGCGGTGAGGATCGAGAGGCACGGTGGTGATGACCTGGCCCTGTATCGGTCAAGCGGGCGGAGAGAGGATGAGGGAGAGGATGGCCATGGAAAGTCAAGATCGACGCACCCCAATTGTAAATATAGGCAGCGAAAAAAAGGTATCATTGATTTTTAGATAAGGATATCCAGGGGACTCAGGAAAGAAAGGGAAAGGCATGTGTCAAATAGGGATTCCAAGGGTCGGCTCAACGGCTTCAAAGTATATAATCAACATGCAAGTCCCTTCCTGGTCCATTTCATCCCCTAAATCAGTACATCCTTCGTCAGTTTAATTTTTCCAATACCTTGATGTATCTACAATAAAGACGCCAAACTGGCAGGCGCTGGAACCAGGGCCAGGCTCGCGAGCCATCTCTGTAACTCGTGTCTAGGTAGGTCATCACGTACGCCATGAAGCAGGCTCGATGGAGCGCACTGGCCCACGAGGTAGTAGATGGGACAAGCAGAAAAGTGGCAATGAAGGCCAGGAAGCTTGCATAGCGCCAAAATTGTTTGTTGGGTTTCTGGGATGGCTTGCATTTGAAGGACATGTCGGGGCCGTGAGAGCGATGCGGAGAGGTCACCAGACCCTGCGTCTTCCTGTAGTCGCGTACGAGGGAACGTAAGGGACAGACCATCTCACCTCTGTATGAATGCTGTAATCTTCCCAATCTCTGGCATGACTTGTTCGGGCGAGGGCTGGCTTGTTTGTTTCGAGGTCCCATGCTCCAAGGTCGACGCCCTCGCCTGACGGCTTGAAATTCGCGAGGTTCCCCCTTATGGGGCGAGACGAGCGTGTCTTTCGCACGGAGACCCATTTTGGAACACAAATTTCGACTCCTGCCACTGCATTGGAAAACGTTATCTTGCTTATCTGAACTGCCGTGGTGTACCTTTGACTCTTTCGTGGCGTTTCGCCCTTTTACCCTCCATCCTCAGGAAGTCAAGATACTCCCCCTTCATCACAAGCACTCCCACATGGTCTCCTCGGAGCCCGACACCTCCCCACTTGGGAGCCGCCTCCTTCCGTGGGCTAATCTTGGTGCCTACGTTCTCAATATTGTGGCGACGTCTGTGATTGGAACCAGCGGCAAAGTGGGCAAGACCAATTCAGAGGGTACGTTCTAGTTTGGTTCACAGTGTTGCAGAAATGCTGAACCAGGGAGCAGGATCCTCAGATCCTTGGCCGAACAAGTATTTTTTATTCAATCACTTTTCGATTCTCTGTGAAATAATGATGAAAGTTTCTCGCGTACATGCATCGCATATCTTCAATCCTTGTGGCACCCGCGATAAGCGTATGTAAAGGTCGGCTACCTCCACCCTGTCCCTGTCCTTCAACTTGGTAAACGCCTCTGTATGCGTAGCTCTTTTTTCGCATGTCGGCGCGTAACTCACCGGCATGCCTAGTATTTCAAGTACCACAAAACTCTTTGCGTGCTCAGTCACCCCATAATCTTCCTTTAGTTTGTCTCTGCGACCATTGTTCTTTTGTGGAAACACTTTCATTGTGTGCTCGGCTCCATCCTCCTCTATCTTGCTCACTCCGAGTTTCACAACCTCACTCTTCTATTCATCCAGTCTCGGCTGCCTACCCGACCCTCTTCACGCCCGCCGGCTATGCCTTCTCAATCTGGGGACTCATCTTCGCCATGGAAGGCGCCTTCGCCCTCTATCAGCTCCTGCCCTCTGTCCGCAGCACCCCCGCAATCCAGAAGGGCGTTGGGCCGTGGTGGATCCTGATGGTGCTCGTGCAGCTAGGCTGGTCCCTCTCCTTCGCCACTGAGTCCATCCCCCTCTCCATGTTCTTCATGGTCGGCATCTTCCTCTCCCTCCTTGCCCTCACCCTCTCCCTTCGCCAGGCCCTCCCCCGGCGTCCCTCTCTCGCCCAGTCCATCTGCCTGCTCCTCCCCTTTTCCCTCAATTTCGGCTGGATCACCGCTGCGCTCCTCGCCAACGCCAACATTGTGGCCGTCTATCGGGACTCAGAGGACCTTGCCTCCCACCTGGCCACCGCCGTCTCCTCCTGCGTGGTACTGGGCCTCGCCGCCCTGCTCGGGGGCTTCCGCCTCGTCGATCCGATCTTCTGCTTGGTCCTTGTCTGGGCGGGCACGGCCATCGCCAAGGAGCTCTCGGCGCCCGTGGCCTCCATCTCCGCCTCTTTCCCGCCTCCAGTCACTCAGGGCTTGAGCCAGGCTGTGTTTGTGCTGGTCGGTTTCGCCGCCCTGGCCGCCTTGCACGCTGCGGGCAGGAGGGTGCTGCTCAGGCGTGGGGGAGGGGAGGATACGCAGGGGGAGGAGAAGGAGGGCGAGAGCAGGCAGGGGGACACGGGGTCGCCGGCGGGCGTGCGAGCAGCGGCCCAGGCGCTGCTGAAACCCTGAGGCGGGAGGGGTTGAGGAAGAGGGGTGTGTGGCGGTGACGGAGAGGGAAGAATTGTAGCTAGCGTGCGCGAATAGATAGGAAGGAGGTGGTTCATGGGGAAGGTGGGTCGTGGTAATGTGCAAGTGGATGGCGAGGAAACGAAGTGTTATGGAGAGTAGGTGGGGGGTGACTCGGGACGGTGTATGGGGTGGTCGAAGAGAGGCAGTTGTAGTTGCAAATGAAAAAGAAATAAAAGCAATACCATTGCGCCAAGCCTGCTCAGAGGGTCGATGGCGTTTTACGCTGCAATGTCGATGTCGCCGAAAGTTGCTTATGGCAAACCTCGAAGTCCTGTCGGGGGGAGAAAATCCGAGCTCGTCTCTCCTGGGACCCCCCACCTCGTTGAGGCCACGCCCTCGTCCGCCTCCCCACCCCATCGATCTCCACCAGCCTAGCGTCTGTCTACCTCCGACCCAGAGTCCCTCTCTCCTCCACACAGACACCGGCTTCTCCGCCCCCTCCTCCGTCACACGCGGAGCCCCCCGAGGACCATCCCGTCCCAGGCCAGGCTCACGTGGGGATATCCCATGCCCCGCAGCTTCTCCTCCACCTCCTCGTGCGCGCCCACCTCGCAGCACATGCCTGTCAGGTACGTGTGTCGGGGCCGGAGAGTGTCGACCAGGGCCAGGGCCTCCGCCAGGTTGAAGTGGGAGTAGTGGGAGGTCTCGGTCGTGCTGATGCAGTCCACCACCAGCGTCTGGATGGGGGGCAGGGACTGGAGGAAGGCCATGCTAGGCGGGGGAATGCGCTTCACGTCGGAAATGTAGACGAACTCGCCCGGCTGCCCGAAGGCGAAGCCGAGGCTCACGTACTCTCCCCCGTGGAAGACGGGGAAAGCGCGCACAGGGACTCGACTGCGTGTCAGCTCGAAGGAGGCGTCGTCGGTGGCGAGGGGGTGCCAGGCTAGGACGGGGACGTTGCGTTGGAGGATCCTCCGGGCTTTGTCCGCCCAGGGCGTGGCTCCGACCAGGTAGCCGAACTGGTGCTTGAGGGCGGTCAGGGTTGCATCCTGGAGGTAGACGTCGATGGGCTCGTCCAACAGGTGGATCCCCACCCCTTCCTCGTGCTCCTTCTTTTGCAAGTCTCGCAGGTCGTCCAGGCCGAATGTGGCGTCCGCGTGGTCGTGCGTGAGCAAGAGGGCCTGCACGCTCCTCACGCCCGCCGCTGGGAATCTTCGCAAGATCGCGTCCCGCATCGTCTTACCAGCATCCACCAAAATGCAGTCACGGTCGCTATCCGCTGGGCCCTGACCTGTGCCATTGACTAGAATGGCTATTGAGACATTGTTCCGCCGGTCCTTGCTCGCGGGGTTGGAGTGGGCGCGCATGCAGGTGGCGCAGTGCCCCTCCAGGATGTGGCCCATATTAGGCACCGCGATGCTCACTCCTGTTCCGAGGAACAACACGTCCAGCGTGCCTTTCTGAGAGATCGAGCTTGCTGTACTTCCATTGCTTCGTGTTGTTATGCAGGTGTTAAACCTTAGAGTCGAGTCCTCAACGGGCGCAGCCGGCGGCATCATGTGTTGGCCCTCATCAGGCTTCTTTGACGTGGCCACGGATATGCTCGTATGGGCTGTTGTATCCTCTTGTTGCATGATATTGCAATCTTGTTGCCTTCTCTGTCATAGGACGATGAATATTAATGCGTGTACGCCAGTGCATCGGACCAGATGACATGGTTGCATGGCGAGCGCGCTGGGAGGGGATGGGCACCGTATGAAGGAAGGCAATCCAGCCCCGAGTCCTCGATCGAGGGAAGGAAAAGCTTCAAGGTCGTCGCTGCCTCATGAAGGGCCCTCTGCCGTGATCTCTCCGCCGCCTGGGGCACAACAAAGGCCCGGAAACTGGTTCCAAGAAGGCAGATGTTGTAGGCATAGTCATGTCTGTGTGCGTGGTATCGTGGTCGGAGAGGATGACGGTGGGTGGCTGGCGTCGTGTACTCGTGTGGATATCAAGCGAGACTCAATCATGATCATGATGCCAAAATTTTGCCGACCCTCTGTTCTCGTAAAGTAAAAGCGAGCATTACCTCTCCCTTCGGTTGCACTTGGACACAGCATGTTCGCTGGCGTCCGGTCTTGTCAGAACGTGGACTTTCTTACCACAACGCACTACGTGCATGGTCTTTTTTGTAGCGCGCATGCCATGGGTTGGTGTTTGGGGGATGGGAGGTGGTCGTGAGGCTTTGGGTGCGCGCGCTCACATTCTTCGACCAGATCGCGAAGCAATTTCTGCCGTGCCAGTGTACTGACAAACCAGCTGATCTTACGCTTTGCAATTTCCCTTTTTTTGTTCCATACGGTACGCTCTCAGCTCCTGGGAAAGTCAGGAGCTCGGTAGAATTTATTGCCTAGGATCTTTCGCAAGGCCCGACCATATCCAAGATCGAAGAGCTGTTAATATCAGAGCTGCGCCTGGAGGAGACCGACGGGCACGTCAAATTGTCCTGGCCAAGTAATGGCCTGTAATGAGCTCACGACGATAGACCTTGAGGATCGACATGTCTTGCACGATGGTCGGCGTATTATTCAGGTCAATCCGACCTGCGCGGTCGCACACAGCACTGCGCCCTCCCCTTTCAAAGCTCGCTACTTCGGCTTCCTCCCCAAGATCAAACGTCCGAATCACTACACCATGGCCACTCTCGCGGCTATTATGGGCAACGTCTTGGAGTTTTATGACTTCAGGTACGTCCACATGCTGACGACTCGTCAGGTCTCTGTCCGCACGGGGAGGTAGTGCTCTCGATGCACCCTTCTGGCCAATTGCCACCTTTCGCCTGTTGGAGTCCTATCTCGGCATCGTGTAGCTCCCTTGTTCTTTGGCTTCGAAGCCTCTCCTATATGCCTTGTCCTTGTTCTCTAGCCTGTGTCGTAAAGGCGGGGGGGCAAGGGCGGACGTGCTCTCGGCCAGGGCCCTCTGAGCCCTGTGAGCCCTGAGGGCTCCGTGTCCACGATGAGTCACAAGGGCAATGCCCACAGCACCCTCTCACAAACTGAGCAACCACGCCCCCATCCTGCTTTCCCACAGTATTTACGCGTACTTCGCCCCCGAAATCGGGAAGCTCTTCTTTCCCAAAGGTAAGCTATGGACCTCCCTCCCCGCTACCCTCCCCCCGCCTTGATATGACTGCTTCATGAGTGCCTCTCGGAAGAAACGAAGATCACGGACGCACACTCACCGTTCCCCTCCCCCCCTATCCAGGCTCCCCCACCATCCAGGTCGTCAAGACCTTCACCGTCTTCGCCGGCGGCTTCTTGATGCGGCCCTTGGGCTCGGTGGTGCTGGGGGCAGTGGGGGATAAGTACGGGACGGCCGCTGCCCTAAAGTGGTCGATCGCCTTGATGACCATCCCCACGGTGGTCACGGGCCTGCTCCCCACCTACCACAAGGTCGGCCTGGCCGCGCCCCTCCTCCTCACGCTCTGCCGGCTCGTGCAAGGCCTCTCGGTGGGGGGTGAGCTGATCGGCGCCCTCCTGCACACGGCCGACCACTCCCCCCCGGGGCGCCGCGGGCTCTACTGCGGCATCGTGGGCGTCTTTGGGAGCGTGGGCAACCTGATCGGGGCCGTCGTCTCCGTCTCCATGCGGAAGGCTCTGACTGAGCGGGAGCTGCTCTCCTGGGGCTGGCGCATCCCCTTCCTGACGGGCTCGGTCCTGGGTTTCGTGGGCGTCCTCCTGCGGACCCAGACGGACGGCCTGCGCAGCAAGGAGGAGCACAAGGCCAAAAAGCGGGTCAAGAAGGAGCAGAAGGAGGCCGCCAGGACGGCCAAAGCGGCGGCCCGCGCCGCTCGCCCGGAGGTTCCCTACACCCCCACGGCCTCGCACAGGCCCCCCAGCCCGCCCTCCGCCTCTCGCCTCGCCCCCCTCGATCAAGAAGAGTCGGTCGATGTCTCCTCCCCGCTGTCCCCCACCCCTTCCACCGCCTCCTCCTCGGGGGAGGGCTGCGATATCTTCGACGTGGACCTGGTCGAGGCCGCCATCCACAAGGAGCAGGAGGACGCGGCGGAGGAGGACGAGGAGGAGGAGGACGACGAAGAAGAAGGAGAGGATGAGGAGGAGGATGAGGAGGAGGACGACGACGAGGAGAAGGGAAATGGGGGCTTGGAGGACAGGGAAGACACGGCGGCAAACGGGCAGGTCCCACCCTCCTCGGTCGCCATGCCGATGCTCCCCGTGGCGCGGCCCCTCCAGGCGACCGCCCCCCCCTCCGTGAAAGCCGACGCCGATCCCGCGCACGGGGCTGCCCCTCTGGTGAAAAAGAGGAGCCGTACCAAGAAGATCCTGAAGAAGCTGAAGCTGAAGAAGAAGAAGAAGAACAAGGACGGGAAGGGCAAGCGGAAGTCTTTCCTGCAGATCCTTCGGGACGCGGCGGGCACCGACAAGGCCCGATTTCTCCACGTGGTCCTCCTGGCAACCCTCCAGTCCTCCCAGTTCTACCTGCACTTCGTGTGGGTGGGCACCTATCTGGCCGTGCTCGCCCGCAAGCCCATCACGTCCGTGGCAGCCTTCTCGGTCATCACGGTCATGCAGGTGCTCCTCATCCTAACCGGGCCCTTCTGGGGCCTGATGGGCGACAAGTACGGGGGAGCGAAGGGTCGCGTCAAGTGGCTGATCGCGGGGATCGTGTGCGATATCATCATGGTGCCCACCGCCTTCAGTCTCCTGGAGCGGGGCGGGGAGTCCTGGGCCTTCGCCTACGCCGTCATGGTCGGCCTGACCATGGGCCTGAGCCTGGGAGGGAACTACCACGCCTGGGTGACGGAGACTCTGCAGGACTCGCCCGCGCGCGTCCTCAGCACCTCCGTCGCCTACAATTTGGGGGCCATGACCGGGGGCTGCGCGCCCATGCTCTACTCTGCCCTCTCTGCCTATCGCTTCCCGCAGATAGCCCCCGTCCTCCCTCCCATCGTCTATGGCGGGCTGGTCCTGGCCATATTCATCTACAGCCGAGCCAGCCCGCGGGGTATTTTCCACGTGAGCAAGTGGGAGGAGAAGAGGGAGCAGGGGGACTTGGAGGTCATGGGGGGGGGGGAGGAATTGAAGGAGGGCGTGGAAGTGGAGATGGCCGGAGAGGTGGCGCACGGTTGAGAAGAAGTAAAGGGAGGGAAATTGTGGGAAATTGTGTGAGGTAGAGAGCTTGGGTGCGGTACTAAAAGATGGCGTGGAAGTAGGAAGGTCAAGGGGAAGGTGGAAAAGCAGGAGGAGATGGTAGGAGCGAAAGCTACTGGGTCGTGGGGGAGGTAAGATAGACGACGGCGCGTGATAGATGACTTGTATTTACATTTGGCGGAGCGTGAGTAATGCATGAAAATTTTAAACGATCTGGGACGGGCATGGGGAAGACCTCAAAGGAGGCGCGCCAGTGCATCTGTCAGGAAGAGAGGCTTGTGGGAGGGAGGGGATGGTCCCGGATGGAAGAGGGTGAATGACGATAGACGAAAGGGATGCAAATGTTCATATCTCCCGCCATTCGACGCTCAAGGCTTGCCGATGTAAGCCGTTTTTACAAAAGAGCCTGGGCGCGGCCGGAGAGGAAATCGTGGGGGGACGACAGAAGCAAATAAGAATTGTGATCATGGCCCAAGGTCATTCGCGTTTTCGTTCGACGTATCGCGGCCAGGGCAAGCGGATTTCGGCAACGTTTGCTGTTGCACCCATTCCCTTCCATTCTTATTTCCAGATCAATTTGGTTCGTTTTACCGCGTTAAGATTGACGCTTTGGATCCTTTCACCACCACACGTAATAAATACCCGATATGTGCAGAAATGCATTCAACACAGCCTAAGCTTCGAGTCCTGTGCAAGTAGATGTACTCCTACATCCATCGACGACAGTCAAAAATCCTTGGCGGGCGTTCCGTGACTCCATCCACGGTCCGTCGGGCTCTCAGTCCGTCTCGTCTCTCCATCCTCTTCCATGCTCTTCAAAGATCCAGACCCTTCCTCTCAGGTATCAAGGTCCTGTGCGAGATCTCACAATGCTCGAATCCTACCGCACACTTTCGCTTGCCTCTACAACGTCTCTTCTCTTTTCCCCCGTCTCTAACTCTGGATCTTGCCTTTGAAGCTCCCCTGCTCCCAGAGATCCCCACTCTTTTCTCTATTCAACACAAGTCGACCATGCGGCTGCTCGTTTTCTCTTCGCGCTCCCTGGCCCCCCACTCCTTCAAAGGGATGGCTCGAGACAGAGTCCTCCGCATCCCTTCCTCTCCTTTAGCTGGTGTCCGCAGGCTCCTCCCCCCTTGCTTTGACTTCCGCTTTCGCCATTTTCCCCTTCCCCTCCTTCCCCTCCTCCACGCGCAGGGCCAAGAACTCCTCCCGCCCCCCCTTCCCGCCCTCCGTCTTTCTCTTCACGTATTCACCCCATTCGTACCGGCCCAGCACCACCGCCACCGCCGCTGCCACCGCCGACAAAGGCAAGATGGGCGCGAGGAATATTGGACTCGCAGAAAGGGCACTCGCCAGCATTGGGGTGCATCCGCCCACGACGGCCCCGACGTTGTAGGCAACCGAGGTGGTGAGAACCCGAGAGGGGGATTCATTCAGGCTCTCGCAGACCCAGGCGTAGTAATTTCCTGAGACGGTGAAGCCCATCAAGAGACCGGTGAGGGCGGCGAATAAAAAGCTCAGGGAGGCGCGTCCGGAGCGGAGGAGGAGGAAGAGGCAGGGAGGGAGGAAGCAGCTTAGGACCACGCCCACGATGTTCCAGCGGAGGCGCTTCGCCAGCCCGCCCCCCCAGTCCCCCATGGCCCCCCAAAATGGATTTCCAAAGATGAAAACGGCTTGGGCCACGCACGTGACACTGAAGGCTTGCGCCGCCCCCAGGGGGTTGGGCGCGAGCTCCGCCATATAGGTGCCGAGCCAGACAAAGTTGAAGTAAAAGAGAGAGTTGTTGAGGGCAGCCAGGACGACCACGCGTATGAAGCGCGGCTTGTCCCCCGCCGCCGCCTCTCGCATGATCCCACAAAAGGACCGTGGGTGGGAGGGGCGCGCTGCCACGGCCCCGGCCTCTCCCTCTTTCCCTCGCTGTTCCCCTTCCTCCTCCTCCTCCTCCTCCTCCATTCGCGCCGCTTCCCGGTAGGCAGCCACCGTTTCCTCCTCCACCGCTATCGGGCACTCCACCATCTCGATCAGGACCCGTTCCTCCCTCGTCGGCCGCCTGCCCGCCTCCCCGCCATGCTTCAGGGCGCCGGTCTTGGTCCGTAGGAAGATCCCCACCAGGCCCAGCACCGAGCCAGCCAAGAAGGGGATGCGCCAGCCCCAGGAGAGCAGCTCCTGCTTGGAGAGAGCGTGTCGCATCAGCACACTCACCAGGGAACCCACCAGGTTACCCATGCTCCCGAAGACCGCCACCAAGCCGCAGAAGAAGCCGCGGTGCTCGGCTGGGGAGTGGTCGGCCGTGTGCAGGAGGGCGCCGATCAGCTCACCCCCCACCGAAAGGCCTTGGAGGAGCCGGCAGAGTGTGAGGAGGAGGGGCGCGGCAAGGCCGATCTTGGAGTAGGTGGGGAGCAGGCCCGTGACGATGGTCGGCACCGTCATCAGCCCGATCGACCACTTGAGGGCAGCGGCCGTCCCGTACTTGTCCCCCACCGCCCCCAGCACCACCGAGCCCACCGGCCGCATCAAGAAGCCGCCGGCAAAGACGGTGAAGGTCTGGATAGCCCGCACCGTATCCGAGCCTGTAGCGGTAAGCGATGAGCGAGGGGCGACAGTGGGTGTCCAAGTCTCCATCCTCGTGTCTCTCAACCCCTTTCTACTCCTCGCCCCTGCCCCTGCACCTAACCATAGCGATGAACCTACCACTGGAAAAGAATAGCTGCCCAATCTCGGGTGCGAAAAAAGCGTAGACACTGGAGAAGCGCCATTGTTGGAAAAATCAAAAGGGATGCTTGAGAACGTCTGTGGAAAAACACATTTTGACTCTCCAGAAGACGCCGGGAACACTCTTCCCACCGACACTTCCCCGGCCCAGCACTCACAAAGGAATCGAAGGCCAATCCTCTCACCTGAAATCGTAGAACTCGAGGACGTTGCCCATGATGGCAGCCAGGAGGGCAAGGGTGTACCCACTGTGTCGCGAGCTCCGCCTTCCAAGGACGTGGCATGGTGGGGTGCCGGACGTGCTAAGACTGCTGCTACTGCTCGTTGCCTGAATTGTTCAAGTGTACAGGAAAAGTATGAGGCACCTCTTCCCATTTTTCTGCCTCGCCTTCTGAACCCTAAATCTACCCTCCCCTACTTCCTTACCTTGATGTCCGTCGGAACAATTTCATTTTCGCTCCGCACGACCACGGTGCTTTTCTCGTCTTCCCCACGGGGCGGTGACAGAGTAATATCGACCAGTGCTTTATTGGCGCTGGGAACTATGCTGCGATTCTGCTCAGTGGGCGAGGCTCTCGGCTCTACATTCCCAACGTCTTCAGAGTGAGGCGAGGAAGATGGGACAGCGTAGTAGGCCTCTGAGAAGTGCGTGCTTGTATCATTTTTATTCATGACACTCAATATGTCACGACACCTTTGTCAACGGTGGCAAATTAATGAAGCGGGAGCAAGCAGAACTCTGCGAGTCCTCCTCCGAGCTCAGGCAGCTAAGGCTGTTGCCTGTCAGACAGGCCTTAGCGCCTTTAAAAATCAAGACCCGGCCGCTTGTGATTACACGGGAGGATTCACCTATTTTCGTGCATTTGAGAAAGAGTTTGAGAGAAAACAGACGACAGTGGTGCAGGAACGAGCACACAATGCCGCATGTCGGCGGTGGTATGGGCATGGGGACGGGGTGGCTGAAGTCCATTGGGACCGCGTCCTGACATACCACTCGATACCGAGACAGCCACTCCGACACTACTCGTACAACTATATTCTCAAATTAGTGATGTATGTCCATGACTGACAGTTTTAAATTGATTGGTTTGCGCATTTGCACGGATTGGGCTGGTGTTGAATTTTGCACAAAACGTTCGCCTACTCCCCTGTCGCCGCCCGCCGATGGCGCCCAAGGACGAAAATATGACCCGAAAAAATGGATCAACTACCGTGTCTTTCCTTGTCAAGGTCGGTCGTCTACTTGTTTGAGTACATTTCCGATATCACAAGAAAAACGATTAGTCTAGCATCGAATATTTGGCAGTGTACGAGGCGGCGCGCACGACCGTCTTGGCAGGGATCGTCCCTCTCCGCCTCCCAACTCGTTTGCCGTGGCCCATACCTTTTTCTGTCCACCACCAAGAAACATGACCATGAATCTCGTTTACATTTGACACCACGTCCAATGGTTGGTTATATCACATACATAAATCGAACTCACTAGTGGTAAATGTTTTGTGGCATTTGCGAGAAAGCATGGTAGTCTTGTGAGGCCGAGATACTGTACCAGATGCAGTTCTGTGGCTTGACACCCATACTTAGGGTACCTTATCGTCTTCCGTTCAGAAAGCTATGATCGAGCTTAAAATTTACAGCTTCTCACGCACTTGAACATGAAAATTTACCCTTGATTCGTTCCATGTCTTGAAACAGAGAAACCATTCTCTGTAAAGGCTTTGCAAGGAATCTTGCAAACAGTTATTTTGACCTCCTGCCTTCCTGTAACATACACTCATACCGGGGGAGAAGCGCTTTTACGAAACGAGTCCAAAACGCATTTTTGGGGAGGGTTGACTACCTCTACGTTTCATTCATGTTGGATTCAAAACAAGAAAACACGTCCAATACATTACAAATCACACGTTCATTCCTTATTGTTCCTGGTATGACCTTGTGCGCACGAGGATGAAGAGGTAAAGGCTTCATCAAAAGATACACTTCCGCCTTGCATACTGTTTTCGTGTCTCATTCGAAGAAGAAAGCTACAGTATCATGGATTTGATAATAGTGCGCTGGCATGCTGGGTTTGTTTTTTTACAAGTGTTCCCACTTCCCTGTCCGTCGCACCAGCCACTGATTCTTTGGGACGTATGTGATGAATTTCGCATGTCATGCCGTCGCAGAGCATGGTCACCTTAAGCACGCATTGCCTCTTATGTTTCCTTTTGACGTATGTCTGTACAGTCGTGGAGCACCCTTCATGTGAACAGTCATTGATATTCTCTCGCTGTCGTTTTCCCGCTTTTTTGTGTCGACCTTAATTTCGAAGAGACAAACTTCGCCCTCATTAAACGGCCGCTGTGCGTGGATTTGAAGATTGGCTGCTTCGCGTAGGCTTCCCAAAGGATGACGGTGTTGAGGAGGACGTCGAGGAGGGCAGATTGGTAGAGGAAGAGGAAGAAGGGGTGCCATTCGGAGGAGATTTGGGGGAAGCTGAGAGACTCGAAGCCTTCTTCGACGACATCGCTCTACTCGTGGTCGCAGTGCTGGACTTTCTGCCTTCGGTGGGGGTGGACTGAGCTCTTGAAGAAGCGGCAGTAGGGGAGGAGGAAGGAGAAGAGGAGGGGCCGGAAGAGGTAGAGGCAAGGGGAGAACGGGTACTTTTCTTGGGCTGTAAAAGCTTGATGAGCTGACGGGAGGGTGGAGTATAGGAATCGCATTTAAGCAAGAAAGGCGTAGGAAAAAGAAAGAGGATGACAAAAGAGCAACGCGACCTGCGCTTTTCCTGTCTCTACCCGAAATTCCCCACTTTTTACCTGATCGAGGCGCTCCTTGTTCCTCGGATCCTGGAAGTACTCCTTGGCAGTCGCTTTCAAATAAGCCAGTTTCTCAGGCCGGATCTGTCGAGCCACATCGAGAAAAATGGAAGGCAAGAGACATCAGGCATGTGATACATGGCCGTGTGTCGAGAAAGAAGAGAACCTTTCCTCCCCCCCTCGCCTCCATCTGCGACTCCCACCTCGTCGATGGAGACGTTCTCGATGTTGGGGTTGAAACGGTAGTACCGGTCTTGGGGAAGGAAGTCGGCCAATGAGTCGTGCACAGCCTCCGTGTTGGTGGCGCTGACAGAGAAGCGGAGCGAGCGAGGGAGGATAAAGAAAGGAAAGGGAGTAAAATTAACTGTGATCGATGTGTGACAGCTGTCGTAAAAGTTCAGGAGCCCATATATGCTGAAGGGTAGAAAGGAAAATAGAGAGGGTCAAAGAAAATGAAGCGCACCTGTTAATGATTTGATTGAAAATGGGCGCCCAACCGAAGCCTTCGACGGGCTGGGGCTCCAAGACGTTGCCGGTACCGACCGAGACCACGGCCTCGATCGGAACATTGGGATAGATTATCTTGGGAGAAGGCACAGGGAAAAGAAGGAAAGGGAGGGAAAGGAGAATCAGAACGCAAGGTAAAACGGTGAGACTAAATGACAAGGTGGGCATGAATGACCAGATAGATTGGCATTCAGTGGCGTCGCTACATAAAAGCATGATCAGGACTGAAGGAGAGAGAGAGAACTGAAGGAGAGAGAGAGAAGCGCAGGGAGAGTAATTTCTGGTTTGGCTACCTTGGCCTCGTGGATGGCGATGGCTGTGGGGTTGTTGGCCAGGAGCGCGCCGTCAGAGTGGACCATCCCGCCGCGCACAAGGGGGTAGAAGTAGGTAGGGGCCGCCGTTGTGGCTCGAATGGCTTCTCGGACCTGGGAGGGAGGGCGGGGAAAGAAAGAGAGAGTAAGAGAAGAAGAACAGAGGTTTGACGAGGACATCCGCCAGTGAAGGCAGGACAGGATCCTTGCAATCAACGAGATAACGCAAGGCTGGAATAAGATTGACGTATAAAACGGCAGAGCAAGGGGGCCGATGCAGGGCGACAACGAAAAGAAGAAAGTAATAAGCAGACCTTGGCTCTGAAATCGCCCTCGTAGCGACTCCGTTGAGCGCGTCGGTAGTTGTAGTTGCGCCACATGAAAAGTTTTGCGGGGTTGCAAGAGAGCACAGAGGAGAGGACGAAGAATTTGGGGGTATTCAGACCCTGTCATGCGTGGGAGGCGGGAGAACGGTGAAGGCCCAACAGAAGGAGGGAGCGTAAAGGGCATCGAGAATAAGCAATGGCTATGGTGAGCTCCCCGCCTATCCACGGACTACTGTCATCCCTCTGATTCACCTGCGGCCCGCCCATCGTGTCGATAAGGAGAGTCTCCCCTATCAGGACTTTCAGGACATCCTCCCATACGTTCTCGTTGTACTGGGCGGTACGTAGGACCAAGTTGCTGAGGAGATAGGAAAGAGGGGTGGATGTGAGGAGAAAGGAGAAATCGCATGCTGGTTTGTGGCATGCGAAAGCTGACTGTGCGAAACAAGGTCAAAAGAATAACAAATGCGTGCAAATATTCGCTAGAACAAAGATCGGGTGGAATGATAGGTCGGTCTGATGATCGACGTACCTGTAGGCGAGAGGAGCGGGGCTTTTGTTGAATATTTTCTTGATCAATTCGTCGTAAAGGCGACCCGCCTGTCGTGGAGAAGGAGACGAGACGCGGGAGGGAAGAAGGACAAGGAAAAGTTAAAAACCGTCCACGATAGTGATGCAAGTAAGCCACACAGATGATAAAGCGAAGCGGATGAGAAACAGGAGGGCAGGGAGGGTAACGTGGCTTTAGAGGGAAGAAAGTGGGGATGAATTTTGTGTTACCTCCTTCACTTTGGTGGCTTTAACAGCAAAAAGTGCGGCGAGGATGCCGCCCGTAGAATTTCCGCAGATAATGTCGAAAAGCTCATGCACCTGGTGTCCAAAGAAGAGAAGGCGGCCGTGTCGTAGGAAGGAAGGGGAATGCGGGCAGAATGGATATCGGACAGAAAAATGAGCAGACAGAGACAGGAGAATCAAGAGGAGCACGCTTTGCTACTATTGAAACCGCGCTATTCTATCCGAGGGAAAGGTAATATGCTGTCGTGCAAGTTGTAGATACGTGTATTCCGTGTTCCTGACTATCAGTAAACTTAAATTTAGTTTTCCAGGAGAAAACCAACATCGAGCACTAAAGAAAGCGAAGCATTCAGCAGGGCGTCTTCCTCACCTCCTTCCCCGTTGCCTCAATCAAATGAGAAAGGAGGGCGATGGTCATCACACCCCGCGTTCCCCCACCATCTAGGGAAAGGATTCGGAGGCCCTTCTGACCCGCTTGACGGGGTTTCCATTCGTGGTACCCTAAATTTTTTAAAAATTGAGAGAAAAGGAAAGAATAAGTGGGGCAGAAGCCAAGAGGCGAGTACACAGGGAGCGCTTGAAGTAGCACATCGTTTTCCCAGCCAGGCTGCAGTACTCTCGATAATTCTTAGGAACACGGCAAGGCGACCGTCGCTTAAGGAAAATGAGAACTCACCAACGATGCTCAAGAGTTTGTGGATAGTGTGATATACACTCATGGGCCCTTCCTCGAACAGACGCTCCCGGAGGATCTGCTGGAGGGCAGGGATGAGGCGCCCTTCCGTCTGGAGTTCAAGGGAAAACAAGAAAGAGAGGAGGCGAAGGAAAGAGCGGTTGTATTTGTATTAGAAGAATAGCTGGCAAAGGCCTACCAACACGATTCCTCCCCGGCTTCCGCGTTTTTATTCAAGTCTCTCCAGGCCGTCGCCGTCTTTTACCTGCAACGCCTCTATTGCCCTCTCTGAAGCTAGACACATCGTGTAGAGCAAGTAGATGGCCGCCCGTTGGCACCGAAGCTCCTCGATCGAGGAATGGCTTCGGCCAAGGCCTGGAAAAAAAGGAAAAAGAAAATCTAGTCATGAAGATGGTGCTGTTCAGGTGGTGGAAGACTAAGCTCCGATTCTCATTCAATGGAAAGGGAGTGCGGTGTACACAGGAAAAAGAATAAAGAGGGAGAGGAGGAAGAAGCAGACCGGTGAGACGCGAAACGCTGATGCCAAGAGGCTCTTCTACGAGGGAAAGGAGGACGCGGATGAGAGCGAGCTCCATGTCCTTGTCCTCCGTCAGAGCTGCCATCACGACCCCACCCGGAGAGCTCTCCTCGTTGGGCTCTGGAAAAGGGAGAGAGGGAGGGAGAAAGGAAAATTTTGAAGAGTGGGATTAGGCTTGGATTGTCTCATACCCGTTTCCAGAGCTCATTCCAGCCTCCTCCCGCTGCATCGCTCACCGTCCTCGGATTCTCCCCACTCCCCTTCGCCGTCGCTGTCGTAGGGAGTCCGGCCTCTGTCATTTCCCTCCTCGACGTCTCCCCCTTTCCCTGAAAACGAGGAAGCACCGGACGATGGTGAGGTGGAGGCGCCGGGAGGGGCTTTGGTCCGTGGGCGCAGGAGTCGACAGAGCGTTTCAAGGGCCTGTCAATACGCAGAGAGAGGGAAGGGGAGGGAGACCAAGAAGAGAGAAGTGCACAGTCAGGAGGAGAGGCCACACACCCTCCATCTCCGCCTCCTACTGACGATCCTCGACCATCCCGTCACTCCTAGTTGTGCTGGGGCTCGCCTCTTTCGAGTGTCTCGTCGACTCGAAGCGCCCGGCCTCAACTCTCCTCTTCGCTACCTGGAGACAAACTTTGGTTCTGTCCTCACAGAAAATCTCCGGTCGATTTCGAGACGTACCTGCGCTCGATCCGGGTTGGGAGGGCTGGTAATCGTCAAGCCTCTCACGAGAAAGCCGAGTCCCCCCGCATCTTGAAGCAGGAGCCTGGGAGAAAACAAGGAAGGGGGGAGGGTAACGTTTCCACATTAGATACTCTATGCTAAGGGCCATTCATCTACACCAAGATCATCCGATCGGCTTATATTTTAAAAGATGAGATAAATTATTATTATTATTATTATTATTATTATTATTAAGAAAATACAAAGCCTTTGCACCTCGTTCTCCTCTCGACCTCCCCCTCCTCCCCTCCCTCCCTCTCCCGCTCCCCTCCCTCAGTACTTGAAGTGTTTGCGCGTCTGGGCGTGTGCCAGAAGAGTAAGGAAAGAAGACGCCATGCCGCGTTCGAGAGAGGCAAGGTGGGCTAAAATGAAGGGAAGCGAGATAGATGGATGGATAGATTTGTGGTCAGACAAAGCGGTACAAGAAGACCGAAATCCATCTGCTACCTGCTGCCTGCAACATCGTGACCAGTCAGTATGGTGGATTACAGATGGGTGAACGATGCGGAGACCGCAAATCGATGGCGAGCCTTCCTTCCCTCCCTTCCCCCTCCCGATCCTCCCACCACGCACCCGCACTGGCGAGGGAGGTTCCTTCTTCTCCCTCCTCGCCGGCCTTGTCTTCCCAGTAGGAAGGAATGGGGGGCGAGGTGGGTGATATCGGCGCCATTTTCTCCGAGGCGCGCGCCAGATACCAGTCCTGAGGAGGGAGAAAGGGAGGGCGGGAGGGCAGGCCAGAGAGTTCAGGAGGGCCTTGAGCAACCACCGTCCACTCCCACGCCCCTCTCCTCATCTTTCAGCACCCTCTCCTCATCGAGACCCGACCTCCCTCCCTGTCCTTTTCCCTGACCTACCTGCTCCCGCCCATCGAAAGCCATTTCTCGGGGAGACAATCTCGGAACGTCTCGCGTCGAGGTTGAAGGGGAGGCCGAGACCGCAAGCACCGGCGCTTTGCCTTCCCCGTCGCGGCCTTCCATGCCCTCCGCTCCTTTTCCGGAGGCAGGATCGGACTGAGCGGGCGGCGAGGCGGACGGGGAAGGGGGAAGAAAAACGAGAAGACCCCCCAGGCCCCTCCCTCCTTCCCTGCCTCCCCCTCTCCCGCTGCGATGGACTCTGCAACCTCCTTCTCCTCCATCAGCAATGAGGGAGCGCGCATCCTCTCCACTTCGTTGCCTGCCTCCTCTTTCCCTCTACCTCCCCCGAAGAGGCCCCCCACCCATCCGCCCACTGCTTTCCCGGCCCATACAAAGACGTTGTCGCCCCCGTCCTCCTCGAGGGCTTCCGCCTCCTCTTCCTTCCTCTTCTCCTCTTCTCTCCGGCGCGCCGCGGCCCGCCGTGCGAAGACCATGCGTTCCAACTCCTCTTGCGGCTCGTCCGAGGAGGAGGGGGAGGTGCCCGGGGAGGTGGGGGTGCCTGCGGCATTGGCCGGCTGAGGCGCGAAGAGACTGGTGACGGCGACGCGAGCCTGCGGGGGGAGGCGGAGGAAGGAGGTGGACGAACGGAGGCAGGGCAAACAAGGGTCAGCACAGACAGCAGCAAATGGGACGAGGGTCATGGCCCCCACAAGGACGGAGACGAAAAAGAGAGTGGGAGGACATGGAGGAGGGGAGAAGCCGCGCGTTCCCACCTGATCGAGGCGTTCCAGAGTGCCCAAAACGAAGGGAGGGAAGAAGGAGTCTCGCGTCTTCACCATGCGGTACTCGGATATGGCGGTCGGCGTGTAGACAGGAAGGGGACC